TAAGAATAATCGATAGATTACTCGATTACTAAAATATTCGTTTACAACAGCCCTACAACAGATTACATCACTAAATCTTTTTAGTTTGTTTATTAAACATAGAAGCTCAACTTAATAAATGAAGACCTGATGCAGGCTAAATTAAACCGAGTTATTTCCATTTGCCTTTCAAATGAGTCATCAGCAATAAACGGAAAATTCAAAGCTGCAACTCAGCTGTAGCAGCTAAAAGCTCAGAGTTTTCTGAGTTTAGGTGGTATAAACTGGATGTAATCTGTTTTTTTAAACTAAGCAGTGGTAGATCTGATTAGTGTGGAGCTCACCAGGATTTTTTCAGCGTTGAGCGAGAAAACCGACTCGCACGGCGGGTTGCTTCCCTCCACGCAGTCTGGGTCCTCAGAATGTAGAACCGAAGACTCTGCAGAGACAAATGTTCAATTAGACAATACACACTGAATGTTCAAGGTGGAAGTGAATTAAAAATAGTACTGCTTCAAATACCAACTATTTTAGTAATCAATTAATTGATTATACTGACGATTAATCAATTAATCTGAACAGCCACTAATATCAAAAACAATACAGAGAAATTAGGGCTGCAACTACCGATTATTTTAGTAATTGATTAATCAATTATTCTGACAATTAACCTCTTTTACTTAATTTCTTTTGCAATAGAAAAGACACAAATATATAAATAATTTAATTCCTTTTTTAAATAAGAAAAATATTTGACTGTATAAAATCTAGAGCAATACTTTATAACACCTCTTTAATAAATTTGAACCAGGTGAAGCTAAAACTGGGTCACTTGATGACTTTTGGCTAAAGCATATTTACAGTTAACAGTGTTTTTATCTTGAAAGCAAAATGTTTAATTTTTTTGTACAATTTTGGCTTAATTACTGCTCTGAATATGTTGGGGTTTTTTTACCAAATGGACTTTTTTGAGTCTGTACGTTCCAGTTGACGACTATTTCAACAATCGATTAATCATGACTACTCCGATTAATCGTTTTATCCCTAAAATAAAGGATTACAAAACAACGAGGCATGTGTGGATAAGAATGCAGAGTTTTTATTTAAATAACGTTGAATCTGCTGGGAGCTTTTAAATCCGCCATTATCGGTTTCCTTTACCCATTTAATCCTGTCCAGGCTTGCAGGAGGGCAGCTGCCATGAGATAGACAGGATGCACCTAAAGGTCATGCAAATACACTCATCTAAAAACAGGAGCAAAGTGACCTATCCAGGTTTCTGGCCTGTAGGAGAAAACCACGCACAGCCAGGAAGGGTATGCAAACTCTGCATGGAAAACTGGGATTTGAACTGTCTCACTGTAAGATAATGGTGACCGCATAACTACTGAATGCAACAGGAGTATAAAGATAATATAAACTAAAAATCTCTGTTATATACAACAGAGAAACTAAAAGAAAAAGCTCTATTTTAAGTTTAAAACTGCAATTTGAATGAAGGAAAAAATACATCTAAATCTATTTGAATAAACTGAGTTTACACAATTGAGCTTCTAAAAATAAAATCTGCAAAGCTGGAAGAGACGCATCCCTAAACATTTACAGAAGATGCTGTAAAGACATTTCTGCAAACTATTAAATCAAGGGTTTAAAGTCAAATATGCAACCTGTGTTTTCATATTTTCATTTGCTATAACTTCACACTTAACTATTCTACTAAAACTGTATTCTATAGTGCAATTATGTGGTTAAATGTAAAGATTTGTCTTTAATAATCTCTTACAAAGGCTTTATTTGGTTATATTTGAATTTATGTCAGTTTCTGATGTAGTTCCTGGTGCGTTTAGATTTGTAGGAAATCTCTACTTAATGAATTTCCAAGAACAAAATGTCCTTAAAGCTGAATCTTTGTGAAACAGCAAACCTAAATGCTGCAATTACTAGCAAAACGCCCCAGAAGACCAAGATTGTCATTTTCTTTTTTTAAATTATGCAATTAAGAAATATGATTATTGTGCTGAATTAATCAAATGTGATACAAGAAGTAAACTACTCTTTATTCTACATGTATAAACTCCCTGGCCTCATTAACACCGACCTGTTATCCAGCCAGAGGTGACTTTCGTCAGCGTCTCTGAGCTGTCACTGTTTGTTGTTATTAGCCTATTAGCTGCTAAGCTAACCGGGTGACAGTTGGACCAAGCAGGACGTGGCAAACTGTAGAGAGGCAGCGATAGAGAGGCGGCTTACCGCAGTCCGCAGCGTAGTCCTCCCACTCCGACAGCGAACTGCATCCCTGTTTGTGGAGCTCGTTGTTGAACAGCGTGAGAGTGGAGAAGAACTCCGTGGAGATGATCCCACCGCACAGGTAGAGCAGCGACAGCGCTACCACAGCAACAGCCCGGCTGGCAGGGGCCATGTTCGGCTACATGAGTGACGGAAGCTGCTGCAAGTCAGAACTAGAGAGCCGCAATCTGAGAGCTCATCGAAACTACAACGTCCGAGCCGCTCTACTGCACGTCAAACCGGCTTTTCCGGCATGACGTCGAAAATGAGCGCTTCCTGTGAACACTTTCAAAATAAAACTGATGTTTGATCTTTCTATTAAATAGTATTTATTATTATTATTTTGCATTTCCTCTACCTAGGTTTCTAGGCAGAATAAATAATAATTAATACCATTACTGGTAATTGTTCATTAGTAATAATAACTAATAATATGAGGCGACTATATCGGAACATCTAATATAGTAGAAAATTGCACAGTGGTACAATATAATTTTTACTTTCTTCTTTTCAAAATTCTGACTCTAATCTCAGAAATTAAACTCATCCCCAGTTTTCTGACATTTATTTTTCATATCAGAAATATGATATCTAAATTATGGTTTTTTTTTTCAGAATTATGATTTTAATCAAACTTTAATCTTTTTTTTTTTTTTTTTACTTTAACACCAACATAAATCAGATTTTTTAAGCAGAATTTTTTATTTCCTTTGACAGACTTTAATATCAGAATTCTGTACCAGCAATGTAATCTTTATCAATCTTTATTGAGTAAAGCAGACACCATTTCTTTGAGGCATCTTCTGTGTCTGGTGATCTTCATTCACAGTTTTAATAGGCTGCTGGGTGATTATGTGAAAGCTCCTTGCAAATAAACCATCAACATGCCCATCTGTGGTCTGCCTGTGTATCAAATTACATTTTTACTGAGCGACGCTTCAAGTATACGGTTTCGAATTTGGTGCTTTTATTTTGAAGTCAAATGTGTACCGTTCCGTTTCTCTTCCGGTTACATTATTTTGAACTCTAGTTTTCTCTTCCTAGTTGTGGACAAATGTAAGAATGGGGAAAGAAGCATTTTACAGATGTGTTGAGTGCAACGAAAAGGCAGCGGAGCTTCACCGGGATTACAGCAACGGGATTCTGAAGATAACAATATGCGTGCGTTTATTTTTATTATTGTTTTTTTATTTTAGCTGTCAGATGGAAGATTTCTATGTGAGATCAACATAGCAATAGCTTTAATAATGTAAAACACGTCAACTTACTGCTTTCCAAAACTATATTAACGTCGGTAAATAGAAAGTTAATGATCCAAATAAATAGTCCTGACTGTTTATAACATGCCATAAAGAAAAACTAAGTCGTCTTTAATCGTCTGCTGTTGTTGCTCTGTTTTTCTTTCCTTCAGGAGTCCTGTCAGAAGCCAGTGGATAAATATATTGAATATGATCCAGTTATTATCTTCATTGATGCTATTTTGTGCAAAGCACAAGCTTTCAGACACATTTTATTCAACACGAGCTTAAATGTAAGTAATATTAGTTGTCAACATTTTGTAACTGGACATTTGTATCACTGCATTGTAAACATATTCAAAGGTTTTTACTTTTTGCTACAGGTGTAACATTTATTGTATTTGACTGGGATTTTAAGTGTTAGAAAATACTATAAGTAGTTAATTATTGCAAAGTGGAAGGAAAATTGTTAATTGTTCTTACAATTTATTTACTTTTGCAAAATGTGACTTGCATTTGTGTTCAGCCACACTGAGTTAGCTGAAAATAAAGCAGTGCTTCCATTAAATAAGAAATAAAATTAAAATCACACACAAGCTTGTTCATGAGAAAAGTCAAAACAAAAACAAACCACCATCCTCCGATCACTTCTTGTTGTCTTCTTCGGCGTTTTCGCCAGTAGTAACATTCAGGTATTACTCACGTGACTAATAGCTGCGGGGATCGATTAATGAGTTCGATTTGGCTGAAAAACCACCTCATCCTAGCACAAAACTTTTTTTTTATTTAAAGTTTATTCGGAATTTGTGCTATTTTATGATTAATTGAAACAGCTAGTGATACTTGTTAGCCTTTTTCTTGTGAACTCGGAGTAGAAATGTCTTTTCTCTCCTTTTCTACCCATTGCTTCCCACTCGGCTGTTCCGCAGATCCACTGGAAGTTGTGTGTTTTCTGCCTGCTGTGTGAAGCGTACCTCCGGTGGTCCGCGCTCCACGGCTCCGAGCAGAGCAGCGACCCGGCCGACATCATCCGTTACACCAAGGAATGGGAGTTTTACGGCAAGTTTGGATTAGCTGCCCTGGGTGAGATGGTTATACATATGAGGATTTTTGTTTGTTGCTCAAAATATTCAATAAATACAGATGTTAATGTGTCGATGGTAACCTTCAGTAGCTGCTTTATCGCAATTTTCCATTAAATTTAAGAAATGAAATTTATCTTTGTAACTTCAATTAATGGTTAATCATGCAAATTGTTTAATTCCCAACGTGTTCCTCCTGTTCCTGGATCCGGTGCATTTTGCAGAGCTGGCGGCGTTCTGCAGCGGCGTGCTGTCGTTCCTCTGGCTGTGGGAGTCCCGTCTGCAGGGACGGAGCGGGGAGCTCGACCTGCTGCTCAGGGCGCTGCTGCTGTCCTGCTACGGGAAAGTCCTCCTCATCCCGACCGTCATCTGGGAGCACGACTACTCCCCGCTCTGCCTGGGCCTCATCAAGCTGTTTGTGCTCACCTCCAACTCACAGGCCATCAGAGGTGAGAAGCGGCGATCGATTAATGAGTTAATCTAAAGTTAACTGAGCTCATCGATCGACTAACAGTTTATTTATTATTCTTAAAAACCTGAGTTTTCTCCTCTGCTTTGCTTGTATTGCCTTTTTGTTTATATTAGGAATGCAATTTATCAATTATTTAGTTATCTAAAGTTGATTGATCTTGTCTATCGACTAACTATCATAAGCGGCCATTTTCTTAAAAATCTGGGTTTTCTCTTGTAGTCCACCATCTTTTCATAACACAAAGGGCTACATACATTTTTCAAAAACTGCAGGTCTGGTGGCTTTTTGGTTAAAATTCGCTTGTTTTTCATTCAGTTGGTAGAAAATGCAGATGTTTTATTCAAGTAAGAGTAGAAATACTTCATAATAAAATTACTCCAGTAAAAGTAAAAATATAACAGTAAAAATACTCTTTAAAGTAATTATTTTCAAAAAGGCTTCTCAAGTAAATGTAATTAAGTAACTAGTTACTACCCAACTCTGATTAGAACTAATTTTAATCTAATAAACCAGTAGGTGACAATTAATCATGTCAATTAATTGATTGGATCCCTAATGAGAAATACTGTCATTTTCATTTTCTGCAGTAATTCCCTTCTTCTTTTGTTTGTTTTTTCTGACGCTGTTGTTCCCAGTGGTCCTGAACTGCAGCAGGCGTCTGTCCCTGGTGGCTGTTTGCTTCGGCCTGCTTTCAGAAACTCTCACCGCTCAGACCTGCAGGAAACTCCAGTGGAGCATCCAGGACATGTGGACATCTTAATTATTGTCTTTACCATCTTCAGATTGGAATATCTGTTAACTCAGAGATGGATTACCCGCTTTATAAAACTACTGTTTTCTCTTTTCGGGGTAAATTATTTGTTTGTATAATAGTGTTTCATCTTGCTTCATTTTTTCTTTTGTAACTTTGTAAATTTATCAAAATAAAGCTAATCTGAATCTATTGATACCAAATTGATGACCATGAGGTCGGGTTAGATTTGTAAAATGTTCTCTACACTGCAAAAGCAAAAAAAAATCTTACCAAGTATTTTTACAGTGCAAATATCTTGGTACACTGGAAAGGAAACTAAACTAACTTACAAATAACTTCTCAGTAAGTTATAGAAGTTTTTTAACTCAGTAATTTCTTAATGTTGAAGAAAAAGTTGTAATTCCGCTCGTCCCGTTACCTAGCAACGCCACCCAAGCCCGTCACCTAGCAACCGAGTTCTAGTTCCACCAGCAGATTATTTCACTTAGGAAAAATGTCTTGTTATAAATTAAATAATCTGCTAGTGGAACTTGTACTTTTTTGCCAATATTAAGAAATGATTGAAGAAATGAAGCTCCTATATCTTGCTGAAAAGTAAATTTTAATAATAAAAATAACTTTTATAAACTTTACATTGCATATGGTTATATTTGGAGATATTCAACTACAATTACAATTGGATGTATATATGTGTAAATATACAGTTACGATTGGAGATATAAAGGGCTTCATAAATAAAATGGATTATTATTTGTATAGCATAAACTATATTCTATTCTATTCAAGTTAGTTTTGTCTCATTTCAAGTGTATTAAAATATTTTCTCTAGAAACTAAACCAAAATTGCTTGGTAAGATTTTGTGTTTTTGCAGTGTAGGCTTTGTGCTTTCTTTTAACAGTCCAGAACATTAGTTATTTATTAATTAAAAAAAAACAGCTTATTAAGGGATGTTTTTTTAAGGTGAACAACAAGCCAAGACTCTTCAGAACGATTTTGGTGATTTTTTTTTTTGTAAGTAAAAACACACAGCCATCTTGTTTTCCAGGTTACTGTTTAACTCGCTCCAGTTCCTGAGCCACTCTCCAGGAATGACGTTAACAAACCCCGAGGTTGTAATTTCACTAGTCTGTCTGAACTGGAGTCATGCAGCTCTCTGCACATTCTTTTGGATTAGTGGTGAGATGCCTGCCTGTCTGACTCACGTAATGCGTGTAAACACCTAGACTGCAGGTTTAATCACAGAGTTCATCACCAGCTGCTGCTGCTTCGAGGTCTTGTTGAAAGTTTTTCTTTGCATTTTATGGTGACTGTTTAGGGCGTACCTCGCATCACGCTGCAGACATGTTGGCGTATTCCTACGCCAACATGTCAACACCAGATGCCTCATCATTCCAAAGCTATGCTACATGCGTAGCATTCCTTCTGTCATTAGCCTTGTTTACTGGTGTTATTACGGCAAGCAACAGAAAACCTGGATTTTGAAATGCAAAGTGATATTTAAATAATTTAACTATTTGAAAGTAACATCAACTGATAAGCACTAAATTTACAGTAAACAAGTTAAAAATTTTTATATCTTATATTTTCCCAACAGCAGGAAGGACTTAGCCTGTTTACCGACTATAAAAACAGTAGAGATTGTTTTTCATGTAGCATTTAGCTTGTAAAATTAAGTGTTATTTTATTGTTTACACCAGTTGGTGCTTTTGAGGAGCCCTAAATATCTGCTTCATTCTCATCACTTGGACCGAATCTGTTAGCGACACTAAGGATAAACGGCATGTTGAACTGCTTGATGGATGAGTTCATCCACATTGCAGGATTTATTTTTTCTAGAAAGTTAAAAAAAATGGATGTCAGAAAAAAATTTAACAATTTTTTGAAACTCAAGAAATTTTCATATTTTTTATAGAAAAAAGTTTTTTCTAGCCAATTTTCGCCTTTTCAAACTGAAATTTCCTTATTTTTATAAAATTTTGGAGATTTAATCTAAACTAAATTTCACAGTTTTTTCTAGCAACATTTCAACTTTTCATACTCAGAAATATTCAAGTTCTTTCTAGAAAATTTGTGAAATTAATTTCAAACTTTGCGAGTTTTTTCTAGCAAATTTGACTTTTCAAACAAATTTCTGAGTTTTTTCTAGAAAATTTCTGAAATCACAAATTTTCACATTTTTTTTAGCAAATTTTTCACTTTTGAACTCAGAAATTTAAAAGATTTTTTTGGGGGGAATGTCCTCCTTATTTTCCCTCTAAAATGCTCCTGTCGTATAAAGCAGCACCAGCAGCTAACTCACTGCAAATTTGATGTTCCAGTGTGTATTCAGAAGAAAAAGAAGCTTTCTGCCGATCCAAGCAGCTCTGATTTGTTAATCCACTGGAGAGAGTGAGGAGCACCTTCGATTTACTCTCTCACTCAAGATTATGGTAATCTGCTGTAATCTTCTAGCAGACGGTCAAACAGACTGCAGATAGAGAGACCATTGCTTCCAAATAAATGCATGCAAAGGACTGCTTTTATTTTTTAGAACTGAAATGAGTCCTGCATGACCCAGTTATTCATTACTTCAGAGGATTTAAGCAGCATGAAAATGTAAACAGTTTTTTCCTGTGAGCCTCCCCGCAGCAGAAGCTGCTGCATCAAAGCCTCCTGCTGCATTAATGATCAATTGCACTGAAAATGCATGAGCACACTGGCTTCTCCAGACCAAAATGCAGATTGGAGCATTTACATGCAAGTCAGATGCATCGGAGAAGTGGAGCAGCAGCAGAGCAGAAAGAGAAGCTGCAGCTTTACTGAGCCTGGTTGACGTTTTGGGAAGAAAAAGGTCGCAAGTTTAGTAAACCATACGAGTAAAAACCTGATACTAAGTGAATCCATGTCTGTGTTATTAAATGTGATCTGTTGTGCTTCCTTGAACAGGTTAGGATCGGTCTATGAATATTCTTTGCTCCAAATAATTCTAAGACAAGAAGTTTTCATGTAAAAATGGCTACAAATGAAGATTCATTCAACTTTGAAAAGCAGAATTGGAGCCTCCTGCACAACCAGCAAGAACGCAGTAAACAAGTGGTGTCTATAAGTGGACAACAGAATAATCTTTTCCAGCAGCCGTTGTACAGCGCATACAGCGGTAAAGCTAGCTGACTAAACGTGCTGAGGCTCTTGCTAGGTGACGGGCGGAACTCTGCAGTGGTTGCTAGGTAACGGTGCAACGCCTGTGGAATGTGGCTTATTAATCAAGAGGTTTCCGAAACTGATCATTTTCTATAGAACTAAATTGGGGCCATAAAGTTTGTTCAAAAGAAGAAAAAGAAAACATTTGAAACTGAAAAAAAACAAAAAACTTTTCAGTTACACATTTTTTTTCAGTTTCAAAGTAATTTTTCTGTTTAAAACTTTTTTTATTTTCTTTTGATAAAACTTTATGGCCCCAATTTAGCTTCATAATTTTCCTTACGCCAAAAAACATTGACTTATTGCAAAAAAAATAAAAAACAGGTTGGTGTTTTTTTTGTTGTTTTTTTTAAGAGCTTGATTTGTTTTTAGAAGCAGTAAAAAGTCAGTATAAAAACATTCAACATTTTGCATTATTGCTTTAAAACCAGCAATAATGAATAAATACCAACAGGTTTTTACGTAATTTGCTGCGAGATGGGTCTGCATCTCCCAGTAATATTTATTGTTTAGAGAGGTTATAGAAGCTTGATGTTGGAGGGTTTTTTTTATTATTCATGACACAACGACCCAAATGCTGATTCTTGGCATCCTCTGATTCCATTTTTAATCCCTCTAAATGTCTTCTGGTCCCAAACTACTCGGCTTGGGTTTATCCTGGGTTTCTTACCAGAACCAAACACAATTTACTGTGTATTAAGAAAAAATATATATTGCCACCCCACCAAACTAGAAGCCCTGGGCTACTGCCACTGTGAGCCTTTTTTTAGTCTGGCCCAGTAGAAACCATCACATCAGACCTGAAAACCATGGAATGACTTTATTAAATGTATGAGTACAGTAAGTATAACTGATACAACAGTCCAAGTAACAGTCCTGTGGTACAGAACCAGAGGAATAAACAGAACCTTCACATTTCCAGTTTGCACCATTGATTTATCTCAACAGATTTAAGCTAACAGTAGCCCAGCAGTGTCCAAAGTGTGGCCCGGGGGCCAATTATGGCCCTTAAGATAATTTTAACCACAAGTCAAGAGTGGTAAAAAGATAAAAAAATTTCCAATGAAATAGAAAACACTTATTGACCTCAAAACTGTGGAAATTGAAAATTTTTGTTTTAATAATGCAACAATCTAAAGCCCTTTTTGTGTTTTGGATCTTTATCGATATACAGATTTAATAAAAATTTAGTTTATTGTTGAATAAAAACAACAAAATCCAAATGAACTAATTTCATATTTTTAATTTAATGAATTTTGTAGTTTAAATTTACCAGGGAAGATATTTGGACAGATTTCTCAGATGTAACGAGTCAAATTCCTCCCTGAAGGCGATGTTTGAAAAAGTACCTTTCACTTAAGTTTCTACACGTCAGCGGCCGCATTGCATTCTGGTCAACGGAGTCCACTTTGGTCCAAATTATCAAGTGAAGAATAATAAGGCTTTTGCTTCTTTATTGTGACGCTTGTAACATTCAAAAACAAATCCATTCTGTGTGGGTGTTGGTACATTTTTACCCAGGCATCTGAAAACCCTGAGAAAACATTTCCAATATCAACATCCATTAATAATTAAAAAAAAAAAAAAGGGGAATATTTCGGCTGTTAGAGGAGTAAGCTGGTATTCGGTTTGTGATTTATTTGTACAAAGAGCGCAGTGTTAGCACGCAATAAATACCCTCAAATGACCCGAAGGGAGACGTGAACAGCTCAGCTTCCTGCCTGCGACACGTTAAAGCTGCCACATGTAGAGGATTAAAATCTGTTTTAAACGTCTCAGTTTAGGCTTTATATGTTCAGAAAACTTATATTATGCACAAATTTGAATCTATTTATTCTGTTATAGTTAAGCCACAGTCTGTCTTTTTTGCAGTAGGATCATCTCAAATAGAAAAACTTAGAAAAATATCAATTTTAATTTGATTAGTTGGACTTTTTCTTAATTCTACATGGAGCAGCTTTAAAACCCAAAATACAGACCAAACAATCACTGTGATGGAGTATTATGGTCACATTTCTCTGTTGATAGAGTAAAAAAAGATGAGAAAAGAGTTTATAGAAATGTCAAAATGTAAAGGAAAAGTATTCAGAATGTGGAGAAAAACAGAAAAAATGTTTAAAAGAGGGGAAAAAATAAATGTCGAGTGACTTCTGGCAGAAAAAAATATTTAAAAAGTGTAAAAAAAAACTGTAGAGATAAAAAAATATCAATACACTGAGAAAACAAAAATATTGTCTGACCATGAAAAATAAAATAAACTTCAAGAAAACAGGACAAAATGTCAAGAGAAAAAATGTTGACAAAAAAGTTTAAATGCAAAAGAAAAAAAAAACAATGTCAGGACAAAAATTCAAATGTAAAGGATAAGTTGAAAACTATAAAGAAAAACAATCAAAATCTTAAAAATAAAGATAAAAACCAAGAAAATCTTTTAAAAATACATTTTCACAAATAAAGTAAAGCAGCTGCTCAGAGAGAATTATGGTGTAAATTATGAAACATTGTTGCCAATTTTCTCAAAACTTACATTTTGACTTTATTTTCTAAATGTATTGTAAACTTCTTTGAAAATGGAAATCAAAACAATACAAGTCATGGTGATACTCCATCATACAATCCAAATCATCAACGGTCAGCGGTTCACTTTCCATTCGTGTTCAGGAGGAAGCTGCAGCTTTACAAAGGCACCAACTGTGATGACATCCAACAGAAAAAACATCTGATGGGGTAAATCTAAAGAAAATCCAGATTGTTGGTACAAAAACAATCAAATAAACAAACCAAACATTCAGTTTATTACATGATAAAGATTGAAAACATCTAGATTCTTGCAAAAGCTCGAGAAAAATTAGATTTTAACAAGTGGCAGCCATTTTGAAGTTTGTTTTCCAACATGATGATAAGGAAGACTGAGATTTAAAATGCTAAAATGTTTTTAAATTGTTGATTGGAGTCGATAAAACTCATTTCTTTGCAGGTAAGTAAATGAAAAATGACTTGATATGAAATGACCTACGGCCATTTTCCGGTATGAAATGACCAAAACTGACAGAAAATGAAACGGCTTTGAGGTGAAATGACCAGCAGCCATAAAAAAAACAAGCAAATACGAAGATTTAATAAATCTTATTTTCATAAATTTAGTGTTTGTGAAGAGAAAACTGCTTGTTTGACTGAAGAGTAACTTTAAAAACATTCTTTAGATGAGATAATTCATTCAGCACCTTTAACTAAATACAATGCAGAGAGCAGGACCGCCATTGGTCTGTGACCGACAGGTAAAAAACCAAAATGGCCGCCTGACCTGGAAGAACTGCGACTTTACGCGCTACAGAAGAAGGAAGACCGAGCAAATCAATCCAGAATGTGTTCGTCGACAAACATTTACGTCTGAAATAAGGCAGATTTACAGAAATTCCCCATAAATTAAACTTTTTTTAATATAAAGTCCCTCCGTCTTAGAGCTGGGCGATATGGCTTAAAGATCAAATCTGACTTTTTTCATCCCAGATCTGATTTTCATCAATTTTGTTGTTTTGCTCACTTACAGAAATTTTCAGTTTCCCGGTTTCTGAGTTGTACGACGGCGTATTTGGAAATTTTTTATTTATCAGAATGTAATCAGAAGAAAAAAAGACAATATTTTATCAGAAAAAACAACTTAAAATTGTGAGGAAAAGAGTTGCTTTAATGAGGGAAAAGCTTCAGAGCAACCAGGATTTGATTGTTTCAAAATCCTGGTGCTGTTAATTTATAAGTTCACAAAATGCTCATCTTTATTTCAAATTTCTCACAAAATTACGACTTTATTTTTGTATTATTTCCAAATCTACTGTAATACGACTCTGTTAATTAAAAACAAATAAACTGAAGCTTGGTCCTAATATTTAATCATGCAGTTGAATAATCTGTAAACAAGCTTGTCAAACAAAGATGGCCGCCCTGATATCACTCAGAATTACGGAAACCTGATGAGTGAATTAGTGGCAAAAATCCAGAATTTTCCAAGAATTAAATCCTCAAAAATGATCAAATCGATTTATCGCCCAGCCCTAAACCTTTCACTACAGTTCCAGAAGGAAAAAGAGGTTTAGCTGGATGTAGACAGTGAAATACGATGTTCAAATAGCAAGGCCACAAAGAAAGGTTGATTTCTGCTAATTCTGCTCCGACTTCCCACCAAACATCACATTTCAGGAATATGCCAACATTGCAGCTCGAACGTGCAAAACAGAAACATGATTACAGGTTTTACTTTAAAGTTTTGAGTGAAGTTCTGCTCAGTAAACGCTGGTTGTAACCGCAGAGAACGGACGCTACACTGACCATAAAATGTTGCACGAATCCTCCCTGCACAGGAAACCAGCTCTGCTCCGTTTACTGGAAGGAGGATCTCACCTGAAAAACATTTTACCGATGTAAAGTTCCTCTTCCTGTTACTGAAGAGTCGGAAATGCCTTTAAAAATAAAAAAAATCCCACCCTTCAGGTTTGAAGTCCAACTTTTCTGCCTGTACCTTTTGTACAAAACTTCCAAAGAGAGCAAAAAGAATAATAAAAAAAAGAATACTTTGTTATTTATATTATGTAATAAATAATAAAACTTTGTTCATATATTTTGATTATGTAAAAAAGAAAAAGAAAGTGAGTGACTGGCAGCTGAGTAAAGGAGTCCAGGTGATCTCAGCTCTGCAGACGGACAGGATTCCTCTTTGGCAGTCCGTTGCCGTCGGCAACCAGCCACACTCTTCTCACAGCTTAGCTCCGCCCCCTAAAAAACATGGATCCGTCTGCAGAAAAAACCCGCGCAGATCGAAGCCTCAGATGGCGACGTTGAAGGACTCCCAGCTGTCCTCCTTGCCGTTTTTGGCCGCCGATGAGGAGGCGTTGCCGTCGGCGACGTCCCCGGCGCCCGGGTGGTCGCCGGTGGGCGTGGCGCCGGGCTCCGCGTAGAACTCGTCGTCCTCGTCGAAGTAGCCGTTCTCCATCATGCTGAGGCTGGAGGCGGCGCTCAGGTCGTGGCAGCTGCCCTTGTACTCCTGGATGGACTCGTGCAGGGACCAGAGCTGGCACAGCAGCGACATGTCCTGCTGACGCAGACCCACCTGCAGGGGGCGCAGTGCACAGGCGGCCATTAACAACGGCTCGGGAAAAGGAAGCTTCAGGATGCATGAAGGGAATACGACGACACTGAAGATGAAATCTGAGCTGCTTCTGGTGAAATGTTGATAAAAACTAAAAACATGCAACAGGTTCTGCTGTCTGGGTTCACAGTTTTAAACAACCAGACCAGATTAAACAACAGGAAGTTCATCATTAATGAACAGGAAGTAGAAATGGCAAAGTCAGGATTTAAATAGGAAACTAGACAGATTATGGATGGATGTATGTATGTATGGATGGATGGATGGATGGATGGATGGATGGATGGATGGAGACAGAAATAAGCAGAACGAATGGATGCATAGAAACATCCAAACCTGGAAAATCCTTCATATCCAACATTTCTCCTCACTGCATAATAACTTTAAATAAAGCTCTAACATTACCACATTTATGTTTTTCACAAAAACAGTTTTAAAAACTAAAATCTGCAGAAACCTTCTGTAAAACCACAGAAAACCATCTAATGCTGTGATTTCAAGACGTTTTCAACATCAGTATTCATTATTTTAATTTACCGAAGCATCTAACTAGGGTTATAATTCATTTACAGTAATTTGAAATATTTTCTGAAATGTCTTCATTTGCACAGTGGTTCTTATGGTTGTGCAAATGGACAACATGGAGCTGAAAATCAGATTATCCGTGGAGGAAATGATGATTCAGACATCTGACCTCCATATTGTTTTTCTGAAAAAGGCATTTCACTGCGGAGCCGCGGTAACTCTGCATTGTTTTCACCGTCACAAACACACGTGGTTTTAAAATACAGAACTACTACCATGTCATTAAGCTATGTGAACTTCAGACGTTTAGCAAAAGACGGGCAGCTGCAAAACAAATCAATTTAAGCAGAGAAATTTGTTGCTGCAACACAAAAAAATATGATTTCCAGCATTTCTTATCATGTTATTGTTACAGAAATGGGTCATTGTTGGAAGAGATGTTTGGCATAAATACCCCTGCCTCTGGGAAAGGAGTGGAAGAGTTTCTGTAAAAACCTGTCAGGTGTTTGTTTACTGGAAATTCACAACTCCATACCAGGGTTGTATTTGGATTTTTATTTATAGTTTAGTTTTAAGAGTGTGTTTGCTCTTCAACAAAAACACCCTTAAAACTTTTTTATAGATTGAAAAAGTATATATTAGTTTTTTCATACTTTGGTTAATTTTTAGGTAAAGAAAAGAAAAAGGTGAAAGTATTTAATGTTTTATGTACAGTAATTGGGTAATGAATAATACACAGAAGATACTATTTTCAAAAGACGCTGAAAGGCAACTTATCCAACTTGTACGGATTAGGATAAGTGCCGTAATTTGCAGAAAACTGATGTGAACAGCCAAAACCCCGACTAATTTCAGTACATTTAGATAGTTCTATAAATGCACAACATGGTTCCAGTTTCCCCATCAATTCCTGCTTTTATTTTATTTCAGTTAAATGTTTTCTCCGTTTCAGTTTTTGTCATTTCTAGTTAACTGTAATAACCTTGTTTCCTACTGAACTATACGCTCATTCTCAACCTCACATTTCTTTTAGTATCTTTTGAGAAAGTGGTCACAGCTCAGGTTTTAATGTAACATTTAATGATTCACTTTAACCTTTAACGTCATATGTTACTGGTAGTGTTTCCCCAAAGGTGTTGAAATGGTAGTGAAATGTGTATAAAATCGGTAATTACGGGTTGTCGGCCATAACGGCAATATTTAAATCGGATTAGCGTATCCCTAATTTTTTTAATCTATGAACAACTTTATTAGTTTGACTTCTTTTCCTCTTTTCATTAAAATTCGTTATATAAAAATTACGATAAAATTGCAGAGTCTTATAAATAAAATCTGATCTGTTTTTAGCAAAATTTAGTTTTTTTTAATAAGAAAACTTTTACTTAAAAAATAAACACTACAACTGGAAGATCTATTTATAAAAGGGTCATGTTTAATTTATAATATATTCGAGCAGAATTATTAGGCGGATTGTTAGAAAAACGTGAAGCAACATAAAGCTTAACAACCGGAGTTTCCTTTCGGAGTTAATCTTGTTGAACAGGACTATTTCTCCGGGATTAAACGGCTTTCTCTCGGGTGAAAAAACAACAACACAGGCTCAGTGCAGATGAACACTCCCTGAAAACGTTACCATTTCTTTCCGCAGGAGAGCCAGGGCAGCGTCCAGGTTGGCCGGCTTGCTGGCCAGCAGGCTGTCGGCGTTGTTCCTGCCTCGGCTCAGGTCGTCCTGGATCATGGTTTTCTTCACGTACATCCTCTCCATTTCTCTCCACGAGCCGCCGCTCGAGTTCAGCAGCCCGCTCAGACTCTTCGGCAGCGGCGGCAGACCTTCGATACAGGCCATTCCCCCCGCCGTACCGTTCGCTGACTTGCCATTCATTTTTCCGGTGAGTTACTAAGTGAGTTCCGGCGGGTAATTAATAACTGAACGGTAAGTTGTTAAATCCGACAAACAGAGCGAGGGCGCAGCCGTCTCCAGAGCTGAACACACCGAGCAACAGTCGTGGCGTTCTCTGCCCGAGGCGGAGAGGGACGCTGCGTTAAGTTAACTGAACCAGTGACGTAACATTTCCGGTATGATGCTACAAAGTAAAAGCCCCAACTCCTTTCCCAATATTTAAAGGGATAGTACGGAGTTTTTGAAACTTATTAGTATTTTATTACGGAAGTACGACGGCGCAAGAGGGCCATATCAGATAGAGATAAAGGAGAACATTTCCGACAAAAAAAACTTACATTTTTTTAGATTGAGTTCAGAAAATTTCTAGGAAAATGAGAACATTTCTGAACTCCAAATGTTGAAAATTTGTGAGAAAAAAAACTCTGAGTTTGAGATTAATCTCATGAAAGTTTCTGAGCTTCAATAGTCAACATTTTGCAAGAAAAAACTGAGAAATTTTCTAGATTAATCTCAAAAGCATGCACATTTCTGAGTTTCAAAAGTCAAAAATATTTGACTACATAGATTTTTTCTTTTGGAATTGCATTTGTTTAGTTTCAAAAGATACACATTTTTACCTTTTGAAACAGAAATTGACAAAATATGTAAAATTGTATTTAAAAAATAATTGCAGAAATTTTCTAGAAGTCAAATATTGTTCAAGTTTTAGGAACGAAAATCTAGTTTTTCTAGAAATTTTCTGAGGATAGTCTCAGAAAATTTCAGGCATATTTTCAGCTTTTCAAACTCAGAAATTTCAAAGATTTTTGTAGAAAATTCCTAAGATCAATTTCAAAATTTCAGATTTTTTTTCTCTCACTAATTTCTTCAATTTTTATAACAAAAAAAAATTCTGAGATTAATTTCATAATTCCTGAGTATTTTTGGCAGAAATTTCCTGTTTGTCTTCTATCATACAGAAACATTTACCTGCCTGAGCTTAGAAATAAATTCAGGAGCAGTATCTCGTTATAAGAACGTTTCTTGTTAAAATGAGAAAACTTTCTTTTATAACACGAAAATCTTTAAAATTTTATAATGAGAAATTTTCTCATATTAATGAAATATAAAAATATGTTCTGACGAATTAAAACATGTCAAAAAACCCCAAGGAGGTGTTGATCCTCCTGTTTCTTAGAAAACGTTCACTCTCATGGACAAAATTTCAACTTTGATATTAATTTTAAATAGTTTTACAGTTTTGAACTAAAATATTCTGATTTATTAGTTCATTTAGAACCTGCCGTATTTTTTTTTCAACCCAAACTCTGTGAAGAACGACAGTAATTTGATTTCTAAAATATAATTTTATCCTTAAAATTATATTTCTACACACACAAATGTTACAACTATTACAAATCTGGTAAGAATTAAATAAAATTAATGTCTTTAAAGTCTAATCTTTGAACATTTTCTGTCATCAGAGAAAGCAACACAAACTTAATACATATTAAATCAACTGTCCAATATACAAATTTCACCAAACGGCTTTTATTTTGAAATTCTCTTCTGGTTGTTTCATGACTGGTTGCTGCAAGTCGCTAAAAAATTGGCTTTTGGCTGAGTAGTTAAATCCGCTTCCTGTCATTTTAACACAGAAGCTGCGAGGCGTTTCCCAACAAACACTTAGAAACAACAATATTCTCTTTTTTCCTTCTTGTTTTGTTTGATAATTTACTTTAGCAGGAAATGACTTGGATAGACATTATATCTAACTTGTCAGACGGCATGGTGTGTGTAGGGTTTTTTTTGTTTTTTTTGAGGTCATGAAAAGGCGTGTGTGTGTCAAAGACAATAGTTTGAGCACAAAAGAGAGACGACGGTCCTCATTTCCACCCCCAAGCTCTGCTGCGTCCTTCCAACAAAGCAACTTAAAGAACCTTGAAGCTAAAACACAAAAGCATCACGCATGTTCCTCAGGAAGAGAGGGGCAAGTTTACCACACACAGAGATTAAGACTGAACCCTCAGACCCCCAAATTAAAGCTGCAGTGTTTAACTTTTATATAAAAAATATGCTTTTTTACTTATTTGTTAAAACTGTCACCATGTTGTGACAGTTTGTGATGAGACAGGTAATCTGTGAAAAGATGAGCTTCTGCAGAAATGCTAGGCTCCCGACCAAAACCAACCAATCAGAGCCAGGAGGCGGGTCTTTGTGCTGTCAATCAACTCGTGGACATGCCGCTAGAAACAACTTACCTTGAGAGGAAAACGTTTATCCGCCATCATGGTGCTCATGCTAACTAGCATTAGCATTCATGATGGCACTAAGAACCGCCTCCCGGCTCTGATTGGTTGTTTGTACCGCCAGAGGTGGGCAGAGAACCCAAATATTGCACTTAAGTAAGAGTAAAAAAGTAGTTTCTACTGAAGTGCTGAGTAACTGATCACATTATAAATCATTTAACATTTACAAATAATCAGATGGACCAAAATATTACAAAAAAATAACAAAATAAAATCAGTTTGTTTCAATAGAAAACTTGTGAAAATTTAACAATAACTGCAGTTCTATGTCTGTTTATGGTGAATTTTTTATTAAAACATGTTTGTTTTCCATTCAGTGGGCAGAAAATCCAGAAATTTTACTCAAGTAAGAGCAGAAATACTTCATAATAAAATTACTCAAGTAAAAGTAAAAAGTACAGGGTAGTAAAAATACTTCCAAAAGTACTTTTTTGTTTTTTGTTTTTCTAAAAAGTTATTCAAGTGAATGTAACTATTTACTACAAATCTCTGGTTAGCACTCATTAGTTTCATATTACACTCTGATGACATGGTGACAGCTTCAACACATATGTAAAAATCCTATTTCTGTAATAAATGTTTCCTTTCCTAATAATGCTCTTTTATGGATTATTCATCTTACAACACATTTTATTATCATATAATTTCAATGTTTTAATGAAAAAAGCAATGAAAAGAATAAATAATAAATTTAGGAGTGCTATTTCTCTTCTCTCTCTGTTTACCTGAATACTTTTATTTTGAATTAGCTGTGGAGTTTATTCACATAAAACCAACTGGAACAGTGAAGGACATGGACTAGTTTTTAGGATGCTTCTTATTTTGGCTGTTATGGAGGAGAAAGAAAAATGTTCTGGGTCAGATTACAGATTAGATCCAGACCTCAAATGACTCAGTGAATTTTCACAGTACAGTGCTGGAAAACAACGACATGCCGTTAAAAAACATGCAGAGGCAGAGTTTTCCTACTGACCCTAAAACCAACAAAGAAAAACAAAGGATTTTAACATCCTCAGATTTCAAGTAATCACTTTTAAATGTATTTAAATTACAGCTTTTCATTTAATTTAATTTTTAATTGAATTCACTTGGTAATAAAACTGAATATGTTTATGAATTAACAGTTTTTCAAGAACAACAAAGAAACTTCTGAGTTTGAAAAGTTGAAAATTTGCTTTAAAAAGATCATACAGTTTGAGATCAAACTCAAAAATTTTCTAGAAAAAAGGACATTTCTGAGTTTGAAATCTAAAACAATATCAAATTTCTTTGAAATGCAGTTGAGATTTAGATGGTTTTATCTCTACTTATTGAGATTGTTCTACTGATATGCTCCTATATTTAGTTATTTGTAAGTCAGTTTTGTTATTTTCAGCAGCAACTAGACCAAAAGTACTTGGTGAGATTTTGTGTTTTGCGGTTTTAAAATCTCTTCCCAGATCTGAACTAAAAAATCCCCTTAAGTATTTAAAACCTGCTGAATGCTGGTTGTTGTTTCAAATAAATCTGTTAATCTGAATTCTGCATATTTTTCCTTGAGAAGCAACTCAACCATTTAATCCTGCTTCTAAATCTGAGAGTTCAGCCATATGATCGAGGTCAATACGCTGTTTTTCCAGAGATTTACCTTTTTAAAACATTTCCTTCACCGTCATCAACGGCCTTAAAGCTGGAGGATTAGACAAACGATGGAAGATCCATGAAACCCAGCAGGGTTCAGTTAATCCTTGTGGTCAAACGCACAATGGCTTTCAATCTCTGAGTCAAATCCGGCTAATAATGCTCTAAAGATATCCACTTAGGCTTCGCTGGAAAGGAATTACCTGTTAAAAACCACAACAATTACAGTTGGTCGGTTTACCCCAGAAATGGCATCAGAACAGGAGAGACTTTGGGCCGCCGAGAAAAAGAGAAGAATTCTAATTTTAATCTCTGAAATTCTCTGGAAAAACAAGGAAATTTCAGAGTTTAAAAAGTTTAAAGTGGGCTAGAAAAAAACAAAACAAAGAAGCTTCTGAACTTAAAAGTAAAATAACAGCTAAACAGCAATTAGAATTTTGAGGTCAAATTTAGAAATGTTCTAGAAAAAACATGGACAGTTTTGAGTTTAAAAGGTAAAAAAAAAAAAATACTAGAAAAATCTGAAATTTTGAGATAAAACTCAGGAATTTTCTAGAAAAAAATAAGAAAATTTCTGAATTTTCAGATCAATTTCAGACACTTTGTAGAAAAATCTTGGAAATTTCTCAGATTGAAAATTTGTTATAAAAAATCTGGAATTTTGTAAGAAAATAAAGGAAATTTCTGATTTTAGAAAATTTAAGTTTCAGGAAAGAAAAATTAAATTTTGAGATTAATACAAAATTTCAAGAAAAAAACAAGAAAAGTCAAAAACTTGCTAGAATATAATTACAAAATTTGAGCTCAATCTCAGAAAAAACAAGGACATTTCCGAGTTTGAAATGTTGAAAATTTACTAGAAAACACTCAAATTCAAAAATTAAAAACTTTAGAAACGTAGAAATTTTGATGGTTTATCCAAAGTTTTAGTTTTTAGATTAATCTTAAAGTTTCTGATTTTCTCCTAGAATATTTTTCAACTTTTCAAACTAAGAAATTTACTTTTTTTTTATTGAGAAAAGTTTCAATGAAATGTTTGACTTTTGAATCAACATTTCATAATGGGGAGGCTGTTGCAGTAAATTTGCTCCTCCTTTGTTTTGCATCAACAATGACCCTAACACACCTGTCCAGATGAATTCTCCCAAACTGTGAAGGTTTGTTAACGTAGCTGGAATCTGACAGCATCAGCTGCAGAATGAGCTGACTGGTTTCCTTGCAGGACGTCTTCCCCCTCCTGCAGATGCACCG